TATCCCATCCTTATATTAGAAATAGAAACAAATTATAACCATGAATCCATTCAAAAGATAACATATACGTCACTGAATCGCCAAAAATATGCCTCCAGAATGCTAATTCACACTCAAAATGGCAGTCGTAAAACCAAACAGAAATTTCAGATGATTCAAATTAAGGACCTTCTACTTATTTTCGCCAAAATTAAGGACTTTTAAGGACCAAAAATCGATTTTAAAAAATTTAAGGACTCTTAAGGATCGTACGAACCCTGATTGTATGTGCAAAACACAACACGCAAGCTTCAAAATAAGTACAACAAAAGGTAATGCAAGAGATAATCTCTGACCAATCAGTTAAATCAGATGCTAACCCTCAAACCTCTGAGCGGCCTGGGGTTTTGGATCTGTCATAAACATCTGTATTTAATGAGCCTTAATTAGATAAATTTGCATATTTACCTATTTTAGTCTCTATTTTCATAAACTTACATTCATCAAGATGGTATTTACATTATTAATGAAAGTAAGAAAGCAAAATATCTTAAATTATAAGCTAATACATAAAAAGTTATAAAAAATCTCATGACCGGATGCTCAGAGGTTTAATCTATTCAATGCTCAGTTAAGAGATTTTGCAAAATCATCATCAAAAAATGCTTTTCCATTGCAGCTGTACTACAAAAATTGTTTGCTGTTGTGTTTTAGTTTTTCTTCTGTGTTTTTGGCTCAATGTTAACTGGAGCGATCAGGAACAGCAACAAAGAAACCTTTATAATTTCATGACAAAATCCTCCAAAAACACATTGTGGAAGGGGAATAAGGCCTAAGTTATAGTTTTTCACTTAGTGCAGGGTTTCTTAAACTATGGGTCGCCAAAAATTTTAGCAGTTTTGATATTTAACTTATTATAATAATTTTACAGCTACCAAATATTTTTATACAATGTATCTTAAATTAGATAAAGATAAGTAAATGCAGTCAACGCAAAAAACTAAAACGTTTCGACACATTCTTTTTATAATATAAACGTTCATTTTCCTTGCTTTGCCTGGGATGCTGTCATTTCGTCTGTTACTTATTTAAAATTTTCCCATTGTTCTATGTCTTAAAATTAGAAATTAAAGTTAATGACCTAAAACTGCAATAGTATATTACAGTACAAGTTAAAAAACTGAAAGCTTCACTCACGAGTGTGTCAGATTTGCGCAAAGCTTATGGGTCACACAAAATTTTTGTAAATATTATGGGGTCCTGGGGGTCGCAAAAAAATCTCAATGATAAAAAAGGGTTACGACAGGAAAACGTTTAAGAAGCCCTGTCTTGATGAATAAATGTAGTTATTCCTGTAGGGTGTTGCACTTCAGTTGAAAGAAGTTTCGAAACCCAAAACTTGGTAGACATTGATTCCTGTCATCATTAATTAAATGAATAAGCTGCAATTAAGGAATAGATGACCAAAAAAAATTTTGGGGGCAACTTCTTTCCCTTAGAAAGAAAAACTATGTGGCCTTTTTGGTTTTAAGTAATATTTTAATTTCATAAGTATTCAAAAGTATGCGATACAAACTTTCTTTTGTAAATAATCTATATTTCTTAAAGATACAGGATAACTGCCTGCTTATCTTTTGAGATATTCAAAGTTGTGAGTTCCACCGAAGTTTAAAAAAAAAAAAACACCCGATTAGGTGAAATGTAACTGACAGAGAAATGAATATAAAGACAATTATAGCCAGTAAAGAAGCTAAATTAAACTGATGTCCAGGAAATATGGGAAAATAAAAAAAGTGTCAAGTGGTACAGGTTTAACAAAACATTACTTGTTAAATTTGCTATTTCCAACTCAATTGCTCCAGTAAATAATTTTCATCTAAAAATGATTAAAAGTGCAAGAAGAGATAATGTATGGTAATATTTCAAAAAATTTAAAAGTGATACGCAAATCTCTGCAAAGTGAAAGGAATATGGCCATAAACAAAAGTAATAAGGCAGGCAGGATATGAACTCATGTTTAGAAATGTAGTTTCTACCTCTGCTTTCTGCTGAATTCTATTTCTTAGTGCTGAAGTTGCAAAAAAGAGGTTATTCAAATTATGTAAAGAAACCACCTCTTAAGAAGTTTTAAAGTAATTCAGTAATCTTTATATGCGCACAGAATAAGTGAATATGAAACATAGAAAACTGATGATTCAACTGCAAACCCCTTTTTTCTATAATATTATATTTCCAGTTAATGAAGATTACGACACATTATTTGGAAATGGCAAAATTAAAACATGAGAGCTATCTCCCTTAGGATAGGATTGTTTTGGGGTCTTAGGATAGCTGAAACCAGCTCAATCAAACACTGGCAGTTCTAGCTACCAGTATTCAGCAGTCTCAGGGGTCTATGCTATGGCAGGAAGGGAATATGGAATGGATGCGCTAGGGATGCCATTTCATACACTCGTGCCAATGCCAAACCAAGTTAATAAAAAATATTTATAAAAGAGAGGGCACAATTTTTCTTGCCGTAGGCCCCATTTTACGTAGATAGACTAATGAGTGGTCTTAACCATTTGACCGCTAGTGCAGCCTCTGCTAGTAAAAATGTACTTATGTTCATATTTATTAATCATGAGACAGATACCGACATTAGGTTACACAATCAGAGGAAAAACTGCTCAATATAAAATCTAGCAATAAAGTATTTCCTCCCATTTTGCAATAAAAAACTAATTTATCAAATTAAAATTCATTCAAATCTACACAACAGTAATGAAAAGTAAAATTTAATTGTATTTTTTTAGATTTAGTAAAAATTTCAGATATTGGTCACTACCATCATTCCCACTAAAACAAATGTTATCTGTTCCATAAACTTAATTATATGTAAAGATTTTTATAACGCTCGAACATGCCTTTCTTATCTATTAGACCAAATAAGCTTTAGCACATGAATGCACTGACCCAAGGATGCTTAGAAACTATGAAATTTACTAAATATATCATTAATAATACTTTTAATATATTTAATTCCAATATAACATTTTCAGAATTCTTTTGCTGAATAAAAGAAAATTTCAGCGACACTACTGATATTTTAATATACAGATGTATTTATACTCGATTTCAACACACCAGAATAACTCCCTAACTGAGTTCCAAAACTGCAAAAAGGCAGAATGATTGTGATGAAAAATTTTTAAACATAATCACACTGAGCAAAAAAGTAACTTTTGTTTGATTAAATTTTGTATAAAACTCTTACCATTTTGAGGGCAATCAGACACACATCCCTCTTCTTCAGAACCAAACAAACAAAAAAAAAAATCGTAAATCTACACCCAACAAAGGTTGTTTTTTGTTGCTTAGTTTTATATTTCATGATAGCATGCTTTACTTCCATTTGATAAACAGATCAAGTAGTGCAGAATCAAGCAAAAGGAACTTAACTTGTAGGAACTTATGTAATGATTATAATCAACTAATTTTGATAAAGTGGTACTTAAAGTATGTTTGCATTTTACTTATATAAATTTATTTATGATTAGACATTATCAAGACCTGAAGGCCATCTAAAAATAATAACTGGGTTGAAGATTGCATGAACAACCCATTATAATGACAGAAGTAAAATTATAATTCAGTATTGCTTCCTGAAATTGTAGAAGGAAAAGAATATTTTCGATTTTAAAATTATTAGAAATTATGTGCTACCATTGTTATGATAATCCAAATTAAATAACGGAAAATACTATGAATTCTAAGGATAATACCTTATCCTTAGAATATTAAATACAAATCGACAAATCAGAGAGAAATTATGCACAAAGGTGTAAAAGTATAAGTGCCAAAAAACTTCAGTTAAGAGTTTTTGAAGCTTTATTTTACTGCATGTGTCTTATAAATGCAGATAAATTATATTTAACATATTATAAACATAACTGAATTTAATTTCTAACAACTAAGACTGGTTATGATGATACAAGGCTACTATAAATAGAGATTTATATTTTACCATTTTGGGTTATGTTTATATATCTTATGGTGAAAATCAATAAAACAATTCTTAAGAATTTCACACACTTAAAAGCATGAACAAAAATTAAGCATAATTACTGCATACATTTTTTTTTAATCATGCATGGACTGCAAACTGTCTACTTAAAAAGTATACGTATGGCACGTTTGCTTGATACAACAGTTATGGCAAGATTTATTGTAGAAAACAGCATTACAATTCAGAAGTGCATCGTATGAAATTTACCGAGCAGTAAAGAAGCTAAGGTTTCAAACTCTCTCTTAAAAAATTAAGACAATTTTTACGACATATACGCTCGCTACAAACGAATATTAATTAATAAACATCATTAAATATTACTGGATTGTTAGAATTTATAATTACTAATTATTATTTTGCAATTATTACGGTATCATGTAGCATAGCTTATAACACTTCTAAAATAAAGAAAATAATACTGCAAACTAAATTTAACATTCAGCGGAAGCTTTGCTGTATTTCTCTATTCATAGGTCTGTTTACATTTATATATTTTTTGCACGGCACATACGAAAAACAGTAATAAATTTAACTAAATTGTTCCTAATCTATATGGGCTTAATTAATGTAGACGATGTTAAGCCTAATGGATTTTTATAATCTGAGAAATAAAAATAATTTTAAAATATTACTTTTCATACCCAAGCACTTAAATGAAAAATGAAATGTGGAAAATAATTTTCTAATGTATACGCAATTATAATGGAGACTTCCTGTTATACCACTAGTGATGATCAACATATGCAACAAATATGCTTATTCAATACTTTTAAAGCTTATCTCATCACTGAAGTCACATGAAACAACATGCTCCTTGTTTATTTAACGCCATTGCAAATAAAAATTATTCAATATAAATTTCTAAATATTTTATCAAGATTCGAAGATTCAGATAGACAATCTTAAAATTAATTCAAATTCTGAATACGTAAACATTTCACCCAATTTGATCATAAAATATTATTGTACATACCAAAACAGAATGCACGTAAGACATGGCACATTCTACTTGGTTATTTTGTGCGTGTAGAGGTGTTCATTACAAATAATCGATAACCGTTAATTAAAATCCTTAGAACTACATTTCCACGCAGAAAAGGCCCTCGGCCTCTCACAACCCTCGAATGAACGCCATTTTGATTATAGTAATCCGTGGTTTGGGTTAAGCACTTGCGACGGACGTTAAACGACGGAGTTATCGCTTAACTATAAAAATCATACAGATGTAATACTTGAAATATAAATCTGTTTATTAGAATTTCATTACTGATATCGAAGTATTATCTTATCACATTCACGGCAACTCGTACATTTTCTCATCCTGACGTGACAGCAATGAGTATATTATCTTTGAAATGAACAATAATTTTATTTCTGTTATGACACTTAAGCGCAGAAATATTAAAGTTGTAATCAAAATCGAAGACAAATATTCAACTAGGAAAAAAAAAAGTTTGCAGAAGATAAAACACATTGCTTCCTTCTCTTACAAGAGAGTGGAGGAAAAAATTGATAATTAAGGCTAGCTAATCCCATAAGCGTAATCTAATAAATGGGACAAAGGTCAGCAGTTAGTTTTGGATTTTTGAATCCACTTGTACTCAAGATTATTTCGAATTCTAACCATAAACAAACCAAAAAAAAAAAAAAAAAACCCGAAATGTTAATTTTCATTGTGCATGCAAAGCTGAAAATTGCTGATAATAAACTAAAACCAATTTTACAACTTGAAAATATGAAGCACAGTAAAAATGTTTTATGATAAGAAAAGAATTTAAATATGATGCTTAATGAGCAAATACTAATAATTTGGGTCGTAACTGATGTATTAATTTTTGCATCTTAAGCAGTCTAAAAATTGCAATGATAAAAATATAAAGCTTTTCTTTCACTATTAAACTGACATAATACTTGTTTCCCAAATAATAAGAGCTAACTAATATAGTTGCAAAAAGAGATAAATCTATCATAGATTTCAAAAAGATTAAAAGTTTTTGATTTCGTAGATCGAGCAATGCATATCGAAGCTTTCGAATTACTGGTTACTGGCGACGTTTAGGTTTCGTAAAAGCAGTAGACTGCCTAGTAAAAATAAAGGCAGGCTGCCAGAATGCCTTATTCTAGTTTCGTTTAATGCCCATTGGCTCTTTCTTTCACTAGAGTAGTGATCGTCGATAGAAACCATCATAGCTCTCGGGGTCATTCTTGGTCGACTCAGGCGAACGCAGTTCGCAAACATCAGGCACCCGCGCGGTAGCCCTATCCCGGGCGCGTATTTTTTCTTCCTCCCTAGGAAACGAAACTCGCGACTAAATTTGGCGATTTATCAGGTCTTGGCGAAATTGTGTAGCTGGCGCATGCGCAGAGATGAATGAACTATCGCGATGATATGTCGTATTTCCCGGGCTAACCATGTTGACGATTTTCGATTTATAATATGTCCGAGCATAGAAGAGGGAGA